GGGGACTTAAGTGGAGAGGAAATGTTTTGAGAATGATGAGGGCAATGAATGTACAAATGTGCTTTACACAATTGATGTGTGTATGGATTGTGATAAGAGTCGTATGAGCCCCTACTAATGATTAAAAAAAAAAAAAAGAATGTTGCAGGAATACAAACTACCTTAACTGCATATCTTTATATCTGCTGGCAAAGGAAGTCTAAATATTGTACAATATAGCCCTGAAGCAGTATTTCTCAACTTAAAAGTATGTATCTAAACCACTCAATACGAAATAGGTATTGCACCACACCTGTGCATAGCTCTAATTAAAAGCATTCATTATTCTCCGTAGCAATGGAATGTTTTTAATTTAATGTCTCTTTTTCTCCACCTATCCCCCCCCCCCATAAATATGTCACAAAAGACACCACGAAATACGGAGAAGAGAATCAGTTGAGGGTTCATCTGGCAATGTTTCTAAAATTTCACACTTATAATTGCCAATGTGTTTTAGAGAGAGGTGGTCCCTTTATGTGACATGTACTTAACACTTTCTAATTCTAGGTGTTAACTCTGGACAAAACAAAACAAAAAAGTAAAAGAAAATTCACTTTATTGTCTAAGACACCCCACTCCCCAAAGTACAGTATTAAAATGTTTTAGGATCTTTCTTTGTCCAAATAAAATTTCTTTCAGCAATCAAAAGGTAAGAAAAGAAAATAAAAGATGTGAGAAAATGGGCATCTTAAAACCGGTAGTGAATACTTTGAAGGAAAATAACAAACTAAACCAAACAACAAAATCTCCAGCATTTTACCCTGTATTAAAGGGAGGATTAACAATAATAACTACAACTTACTGAATGTTTTCAATATACCAAGCTCTGTATAAGCTTTTTAAAAGAGTACCCCACTTATTCTTTACAAAATTCCTAAGGTGAGTCATATTACTTATTCCAAGATCTTGTGCTGGCAAGTGCCTAAGTTAGGAATTGGAGCCATTTCTCCAGAGAGCTTTGCCCCCGATCACCATACACATTACCTTCAGCACAAAGTGTCCTTGCATTGTACACTTAATTCCAGACAAGTAATGAAATGGCTTTGAGTGACGTGCAAAGTGAAGGTAAGAGTTTATAGGTTACAAATCAAACTGGAAACAGAGGAGGTAATGGACAGAGCTATTCTCTGAATTAGTCCCCAGATTTAGCATTTGTCATTTAGTTTTTGAGCAAGCAATAAAGTCATTGATCAGGAAAATTTGTGATCCATTTTTCATAAATCATAAACCTTCACCTTGGCATGGCTGTGATAGATTATTTTCTTGGGAAATTGTATTACTAGAGCTAATTGTTGATGTATACTATTGGTGGATACTTGGTAGAACCATGTACAGAGATGTTTAATGTAAATTAATATTCCAAAGTTTACATGGAAACTGAAGTGCACACTCAGGATCTGAAATTGTTTTTGTGAGCAACAATGGAAGATGTTAGGCATGAAAATTTTCTACCCAGTAGACGTTTCCTCCCTGTTTTCTTGTGGGGACTTGTGTTCTTATGGTTCAGGTGGGTCTGGTTCCATATCTTCTCTCTGCTACACAATTTATATGAACTTTCACCACCATAAGCAAATCTGTTGATATCAAGTCATTCCAACTCATGGCAAACTGTGTTACCCATCAGAACTGTCCGAAAGGGTTTTCGTGGCTGAAACTTTGCTGACACATTTAGCCAGGTGCCGCTGGGTGGCTTTGAACTTGCCAACTTTCAACTTAGTATCAACGGCGACTGAGTTGATTCCAACTCACAGCCACCCTATTGGATTTTGGAGGCTGTAAATCTTCACAGTAGCAGACAGTTTCATTGCTCTCCTGAGGTTCAGCTGTTGGGTTTGAACCACTAACCTTGTGGTTGGCAGTCCAATGCCTAACTTACAGCACCAACAGGGCTCCTTTATAAGTTAGGAGAAGCTGTTAAAATAGTATAGAAGTAACTCATTGGTGCAGACCAAGCCTGAATACTGCACACCAGTGACAGGAGGGACTGGTTCAAGGCAGGATCAAGCAAGGGCAACCACAGTCCTTTATGGGATCAAAAACTCACTGCCATTAAGTTGGCTTTGACTCATAATGACTCTATGGGACAGGGTAGAACTGTCCTGGTGGGTTCCTAAGACTAATTCTTTCTGGGAGTAGAAAGCCTCATCTTTCTCCAACTGAGCAGCTGGTGGTTTTGATGACCCACTACACCACCAGGACTCTCCCTTTTATGGGATACCAACACAAAAGGAGAGGACTGCTTTTCTTGGCATAGGTGATAGTTGCTGAAAATGTGAATATAAACAACAACCAAAAAAAGCACTTGCCTTTTGTGCTGGGGTCGGTAGCAGTAAGGAAAGTATAAACCGAGGCTGCAGATGTTCATCTTTACCCCAGGCTTTGTGGAGAAAGCCTGTAAACAGAGCAAGCCAAAAATAGCTAGAAGAAAGAGCTGAGCGGAGAGACAGCAATCTGATGAGAGTATTTGAGACTCAGAATGAAACTGCAATTGAAACCAGCAGCATGCTGGCCTGGCTCATGTACATGCATAACCCATAGACACTAAGTTTTTGTGTTTAAACTCGTTTGAGTTTGGTTTCTGTCACTTGCAAATGAAAGAGAACCCTGAACACAGGAACATTAAAAATATGTAGATGTAGTGCCCAACTTAGGATAGTGTTTCATTTTGAGAACTCAGTCATACGTCAGTTCTGACATAAGTCAAATACCTCATTTAAAATGGTGTCACTATTTTTGCGTTTTGTTAGTATCCTTAGAGATCTGATCTTTGTCTGTGGGGGTGGGTCCATCACACATGAACTTACAGATCTATTTGAGTACATATATACATTTTAAAAAATACCCAATTTATGACCATTTACTCTGGTGAAGAATTGTTGGGGAGGGTTGGCATTTTGTCAGCTGTGGTCATAGAGCCAGTTGTGGAAGGTCGTGTGTTATCTGGATTATCTCTGGGAATGAGGATGGTGTTCCTAGACAGCTTAGTGAGAGTTGTCTGTTCAGTCATGTCGCTGCTTCCCACCTCTGCCTACATGCCTTTAGCAAAATAATCAGTACCTGGGTCCATGTTTTCAAGCAATGGAACTCCTTGATTAAGTTTAAGGAAAAAAACCTCAGCTAATTCTTTCACCGTAAAAAAAAATTTCACAGCTTCCTCCTCTTCCTCATTACTTCTTTCTTCTTCAATATTTCCTTCCTCTTCAAAGTCCATCAAGTCCTGACCGGTCAGTTCCCCTTCTTCTTGACCTGGGAGCTGCTTCAGATTGGTGAGATCAAGGTCTGAACTCGGCATTCTAGCCCAATGGATGATTTCCCCCACGATCTCCTTCATCATAGAATCTTGATCAAAAACTTGGAATGTGGAAAAAAAGAAACTTGGAATGTGTTCACATCGCTGAACATTTGTTTCCCATCTCCTCTGCATGCATTATCCCATAACTTCCTCCCAGGATGATGAATAGTACAGATACACGAAATATTATAATTTTTCCAGAAATTGCTTAATGGTACTGTACCTATATCAGTTGCAGCTGTGGCTGAATATGATCACGCTTTAGGCTTGGTTCTTTGTTTATTGATGCATTTGAATCATGGTTTTACCAAGAATATTGAAAATACCGTGGACTGCAGAAGACAAGCACATCTGTCTTGGAAGAAGTACAGCCAGACTCCTCCTTAGAAAGGAGGAGGATGAAACTTCGTCTGATGTACTTTGGACATGTAATCAGAAGAGACCAGACCCTGGAAAAGGACAATAATGCTATGAACATTCTTGCGTTTTCTCTTGGGGTAGATGTGTAAGAGATGCCATTAGGTGTACCTCAGAGTAGAAATGATGGGTTACTGTGTATGCTAGTATTCTTTTTATCTTTAAAATGGCTAATTATTTTCCAAGATCATATCAACTACATTCCTACCAGCAGTGGATCCAGGTTTCTCTTGTTTCCCATCCTTGCCAACACTTGGCATTAATCACCTTTAAGTTTATGTCAATCTGGCTGTTGTGAAATGGTTATCGCTCTTTGGGTTTTAATTTTCACTTCCTTAATTACCTAATGAGGCTGAGCATCTCTCTATATGATTATGAACTATGTAGTTTCCTCTTTGGTGAAATGACTTTATCTGTATCTCATACCTATTTTTTTTACCAACAATTTGTCTTTTCTTATTGGTTTGTAGAAGTCCTTCTGGATACTAAGATTCTGTGGCTCTTGTTTTGCAAACATCTCTTCAGTGTATCATTCTTATAGGAAAATAGTGTATTTTTTCAGAAAAGCATGAGGTTTCCATTGAACAATTTGTACATACAATGTTGGTGACACTAGTTACATTCGGTCAGCATTTACCTTATTTCTGGCTGAAATGCTCCATTCCCATGAACTTAGTGCCCCTGTCCTCTAACCATCTATACCATTGAGGCACTATGGTCCCTTTGGTCTCACGTAACCCTTTTTTTAATTAAGCGCAGTACTCCAGGGTCACATTGTTGACTTTTTGCGTGAACCTGTGATTTAGTTAAAAGGTGGCATCAGGGGATAATTTCAGTTGAAGGTTTAAAAGTACCTCAGTGTAATCATCTGGAGGATTCCTCCAGCCTCAGTGGGCCCTGTAAATTTGAATTCTCTGGCAATTTGAAGTCTTGCACCACATCTTCTCCTTTTGATCATGACCCCTCTTACTGTGACCCTGATTAGAATATTTGGTAGTGGTCACTGGGTCTGATCTAGTTCTTCTGGTCTCAAGGTACAGGAGCCTGTGGTGCATGGGGACAATTCATTTTGCAGACAGTTTTCTTCTCGGATTCTTGGGTTTTCTTCTCTTTTGTGCCAAATAAATGGAGACCAATGGTTATATCAGGATTGGGTATGATTGACAAATGCTGAAGGATATGTCATCATTCAAATATTGTTACTTTGTAATGACTTCGGTCAGACCTCCATATTAGACACCAAACAAACAAGACAGGTCTTGGGACCTCTGTGTCCCCTTTAAGTATGTCAGCAGAGACTCTGGGAAAGGGAGAAGGGATATTCACTTATGACTCTACAGCTGAAAAAGAAAAGCTAATGATACCTAAGCCCTAAGGCAGTTCCTTTGATCTCTGCAGAGCTTCTCCTAGCAGCGACTTACACACCATAGTCCTTAACATCATATCGTACCATCTGAATCACAGACATTGTGATTGCGGGATTTTGGAAGCACTCAAGAGAAGGAACTCCACCTGGAGGGGAGGGAAGAGGCAAAAAGGAAAGGCAATCAGATAAGTCATTTAAATGTTAGAAGAAAGTAAGTTATATGCATATGAAAAGAAGCTAAACTTATCAAAGAAACAATAAAGTTATAGTTCAAGTGTTTAATTGTCCAACGAGAATGCTGTCTTTCTGAAATCAACTTTCTTCTGAATCTGTGAAACAGAACACAGGGGACCTATGTTAGAGTCCCAAAGAGGGTCCAGGTAGATTGAAATAGTAGACAGGGTCCGGAAAGAACTACCTTTGTTGATTTGGGGTCGGTAGACCCTTGAGATGCCCTTATATTTCTGGTTTTCATTGAAGCCTCTTGTGCAGCTCTATGAGAATCAATACGTGGGTTACTACTTGGGATGCTAACCATATAGTCACTCCAGGTCTAATTAAGAACTAAATCAAGGTTGCTTGATAAAAATAACAAAAACACAAAACGCTTTTGACTTTGGTGAGGTTTTTTGCATTTCAGATTGTCAATTTTGACTTGGACAATTTAAACTTACTTCTCAAACCTCCCAAAGTTTGCCTTGCCCCACGCTTTGTTTTCCCTTCTCTCTCTTGTACAACACTATCTTCCCCTTCACTCAAGTTAACAGCTATCTGTCTACTCCCTAGCACCTAGCGCTGCTTCACCTGCTCTTTTTCCCCTCCCACTCCTGCTAAACATCAAAGGCTGTTTCTTTGGTTATGAAAATCACTGTCGTGAGTTTTCCCCTATAACAGAGGTGTCATACAATATTTGTCCTTTTGTGATTGACTAATTGCATTCAGCATGATGTTCTCTAAGTCCAACCATGCCATAAAGTGCTTCATAGTTTCATCATTATTCTTTAATAATGTATAATATTCCATTTTGTGTTTATACCAAAGTTTATTTATCCATTATTCCACTGATGGGCATTTAGGCTGCCTCCATTTTCTTGTTATTTCGAACAGTCCTACGACAAACATGGGCGTGCATATATTTGTTCTTGCTATGGCTCTTTTTAAGCACATACACCCAGCTGGGTCATATGGCATATCTATTCCCAGTTGTCCAAGGAAGCAACATACCATTTTCCACAGTGGTTGCTGGTTTACAGTATATCAAGGTTCCAATCTCTCTACACGCTCTGTAGCATTTACTTTTTTAAAACCTTGTTATTAATGCCGGTGTGAGATGGTATCTCATCGTTTTGATTTGTAGCTCTTGGATAGCTAGCGATGGAGAGCATTTTTTCATCTGTTTGTTGACCTCCTAGATGTTTTCTTTGGCAAATTGCCTATTTTTTAATTGGATGACTCTTTTTTTTTTTCTTGTTGAGGTATTTCAAGTGGCTTTGATTTTCTTTTTAAATCATTTTATTGGGGCTGTACAACTCTTCTCACAAGACACATCCATCCGTTGTGTCAAGCACATTTGCACATTTGTTGCCATCATCATTCTCAGAACATCTGCTTTCCACTTGAACTCTGGGTATCAGCTTCTAATTTTTCCCCTCCCTCATGAACCCTAGATAATTTATACTTTTTTTTCATGTCTTTCACTGTCCAATGTCTTCCTTCACCCACTCTTCTGTTGTCCATTCTCCTGAGAGTGGGTTATATGTAGATCATTGTGATCGGTTCCCCCTTTCTCCCCCCACCTGCCCCTTCCCGGCTTGGTACCACTACTCTCATTATTGGTCCTGAGGGGTTTTTCTGTCCTGAACCAGGAACTCTTACATACAGTCTGTGAGCACTCATGTAGTTGATTTTGCTGTCCCTTCGGTTCTTTGGGAAGCAGGCTCTGTTTGGTGGTTGAGTCACAAGCAGAGATCTCTGTGCAGAAGGTATTAGGAAGTGTGGTTGGCAGTAATGCCTGAAATGAAGTGAGGGAAGTAGAATTCACTAGAGGGGGAGGTTGAACAGGTAATCAGTGGCAACAGAGGCCTCAATTAATCCCAGTTTTCAATTAATGGCAGAGGTCTGGAGCTGGTTAGCCCCCATGGATCAGGAATTTATACCTCGTATGGACTAGCTATGGACCAGTTGTCGTTGGGAAAGAGATAGAATCCTAGTGAGCTGACTCCTTTCAGTCCAAGACAATGTCTGGAGAGTGACTCTGCTGTGAGCTATCAAGATATGGAGGGAAGGAAGGGCTTGGTTCTTCAGAGATTTGTAACAGAACTGGAACCCCACATCGTCCATGATAAGTACTCTATACGACTGAATAATGGCCTCTTGAAGGTGTCCATACCCAGATATTTGTGCATTACATTGCTGCACATGGTAAAAGGGACTATGCCAATGTTATTAAAGTTTTAAATCTTGAGATGGCAAGATTATTTTTGATTATCCAGGTAGGCACAATGAAATGGCAAAGGTCCTTATAAGTAGGGTCAATAATAGAAGAGGTAATGATGAAAAATGAAGTTGGAGTGATGCAAGAAAGGGTCTATAAGCTAAGATTGCATCTGGCCTCTAGAACCTGGAAACAAACAAACAAACAAACAAACAAACAGGAACATGTAAGCCCCTAAAGCCTCCAGAAGGAGCACAGCCCTTGGTTTTTAGTCAACATTTTGATTTGAGAATTCTAACTTCAGAACTGCAAGATAATCCATTTGTATTGTTTTAAGCCACTAAGTTTATAGCGATTGGTCATAGCACTAATAGAAACCGAATGTACGGGGCACCCGTCCTGTAAACCTTTCCTACGTGTGTATTACGTGTGTATCCCAAGCACGGTCCTTTTGCCACTTCTCTCTCTTTTTTTTTTTTGCAAGTGGCTTTGATTTTGTTCATGTTATTTTATTATATTTATTGAGCTCCACACTAAGGAATTTAAGTGGATAAAATTCCATGACTATAATCTCCAGATTAAACTAGTAGACCCTAAATATATTCCAATATGAAAGAAAAGTCTGGGATTCCTTCACATAAACCTAAGGCAGAATAGACCATACTCCAGAATGTCTATACATAATTTTGTTCTTTTTTTTAAAATCATGTTCTAGGCAGTGAGAATTAGATTACAGGTACCTAAAATTCACTGCGAGAGAGAAGATAAAGGAAGTAATTTAAGTCAATAAAAATTGAACTATACCATTTTAAAATAGAAAAATATTCCCCATGATTTAATGTTTTCATCAGTTCATGTTACCATTATAAGAATGCCAGTGTAACATATTAAAAACAGTGCACATTTAAGTGCAAAGTGGTATTATGAAAAAGGGCAATAAACTACATATAAAATGGAACTATATAATAAAGATCTCTTTTTTGTAGTTGAATTTTATGAATTGACAATTACAGTTGATGAAATAGAAGTTAAGATTACACTGAGAAATCACTCCAGGGCTTTATATTAGACATTAAATGGAAGTATAGTTTCTCATGCTATCTTCTGAGATGAGGGTTTTAGATTTAAAAAGGATACAGGAATTAAATCCTTAAGTAACATATTTTTAAATTTATTAGTTTATTCCGGTCAGCACAGTGCTCCACCAGCTTGAGTGACAGAAATGACCCAGATTAACTGCTGTTACTCAAATTGGCCATATCCCAAATTGCTTGCATAGAGAGCCCAGTCTCCTGCAACCATTCATGGATTTTCCTTCATTTCATATTTTTCATAGGTATGCTATCTTATCAATTTAAAAATTCAATTCCTTAATTTTATTGTTCCCATGGTTATTGATCTAGTAGGATATGGCTCTAAATCTGTATAACTAGTTACCCATTTGATTTCTGATTCTCTCAGTATTGAGCATCTGAAATTTATGATCTCATATTTCCATAGCCATGTTTAGATGAATAACACATTTAGAAAGTAATAATTTACCATGCAAAATAAAACACATACAAAATACACATAAAAGTGTCAACCAAAATGTTTTCCCAAGTAAAACTTCATCTTTTTTGTTTTGATCGTTCTAAAAATAACACTTAGCCCTTCTATATAAGTAATAATTAGAGAATTTAAATATGAAAGTGATGAATTAATTAGATATTAGCTTTGTGGAATGATATATCTAAAATTAGTTGTTTCTATCTACCAATATTCAACCATTTCCTGTCACTCTGACCTACAAACTATTAAAGTGTGTTACCTATCCGTAGAAGAGGAATGTGTATATATGTATACATGCACACAAACAAGCATGCACATTTACAAATACATTACATTCCTCTGCAAATGGGGACTCCTGAATTATGTCAAGCTGAACTGTAAGGAAAATCCTAATGAGGTTTGTTACCGTCAGAAAAGAAACCCAACACGCTGTCGGTACTTCCTCATTCCTGGAACTCCCCCATTTCTGGACTCCCTGTCCTCCTTTACGAAGAAGGACCGTGCTTGCAATATCCACTTCTGTAACCTCGCAGTATAAAGCCATGTATGCTTGCCCAACGTTCGGTCGCTAGTTCCTCTGCGCACCAGCTAATCGATGTTCTCTTTCTAGTTCTCCACGAGTGGGCCTGCTCATTTCCCACTCACGATTCTGCTGTTGTTACAGAAGCAGTTAAGGAATTCGTGTAAAGTAGAATGCATTTAAAGTAAATGCTCCCATCGACATTGTCATTCTTTATGAATATTTTAATCTTTTGTTAAAGTAACTTGTATACATGTTTTACTCTCCCTTCTAGATGATAAGCTTCCTGAGAGCAACAGAGCACATTCTTTCTCCACATATTCCCTCTAGACCTTAGCCTAGCGCTTTCTACATGCTAGGCCCTCCACATGTCCCTTTGAATTACAACAAGAAGCAAACTATGCTTTCTCTTTTGACTACACATAACATTTTATACACTGAATACTTATTTTAGCTTAATGGTCAACTAACTATAATGAGGAAGTTCAGGTCTCAGAAATCAAATGAATATTGTTTGTCATAAGGGTAACAGTGGGAGTGTCCTAAATCATGTTAGTAATAAAAGAACAACAAAAATTGAACAGGTAGCTTTTGAGTGCTCTTGGGAAGCTATATTATAGCTTATGTGTAAGAGGGTGGGT